AGGAAATAACGAGGACCGGAGCAGAGATCCACAAAATTGGAAATATAGAAACAACAGGGGGAAAAAAAAAAATCAATGAAACCAAAAGTTAGTTCTTCGAAAAGATCAAGAAAATTGACAAACTTTTAGCTAGAGGGACTAGGAAAGAAAAATGATTCAAATTACTGAACTCGGAAATTAAAGCAGACAATTCCTACCACTGATGCCGTAGAAATAAGAGGAACCCAAGGCAGCCTGGGAACCGGCGGTGGCACAAACTGCCCGGCCCAAGCCCCGAAGAAACAGGAACTATAAACAGACCCACCACCAGCAGAGACAGCACCAGTAATCAAAGATCAGATCACTGGCCCTTGGGGCGCCTGGGGGCTCCGTGGGTTGGGCGTCTGGCTTCGGCTCGGTCATGATCCCAGGTTCCTGGGATGGAGCCCCGCATCGGGCTCCCTGCTCGGTGGGAAGTCTGCTTCTCCTCTCTCTCCCTCTGCCCTGCTTCTGTTCCCTCTGTCTCTGACAAACAAAAAAAAATCTTTTAGAAAAAAATAAAATTAAAATAAAAACAAACACGTAAATAGGCAGTTTATTTAGGCCTAAGAGTGCTGGACGAGCTCAGCTGATGCTGGCAGGATTTCTGACAGAGCTCGGGACTACAACTGAGCTCGATATCCTTTTGACAGGTACTCAACTTTTTTTTTTTTTTTTTAAGATTTTATTTATTTACTTATTTGTCAGAGAGACAGAGAGCAGGAGCACGGGGAGAGGCAGGCAGAGGGCGAGGGAGAAGCAGACTCCCAGAGGAGCCACGAGCCGGAGGCAGGACTGCACCCCAGGACCCCGGGGTCATGATCTGAGCCGAAAGCAGATGCTTACGGGGCCACCCAGGCGTCCTTCGACTTTTAAAACACTCAACAAACAAGGCACAGGGGTCGTCACGTGCCCGTTTCTCCCCATACTACCATGCGATTAACTCAGTTCTGACACCACTACGCGACGACGTCAGATCCCACACGGGAAGGGCTCAGTCCTACAAGACGGCCCTCCCCGACTCCAGTCACCAATCCGGGTTGTCACCCATGCTTCCGACAGAATGGCCGATCAGGCAGTGCCACAATCCCCTCCTGGGTGTGATTAAATTGCTAGAGTGACTGGATTAACTCAGGACAGACCGAAGAGATGCCTAGGGAAAGGTATGGGGGAAGGACGTGGGGCTTCCATCCTCTCTGGGTGAGCCACTCTCCCCACATCGCTGTGTGTTCATGAACCCAGAAGCTCCATGAACCCTCCTTTTGGGGTTTTACAGAGGTTCAGTTCATAAGCATGACTGACTGAACCTGCAAGCCCTCTCTCCCCACCAGAGGTCAGAAGGGAGGACCGAAGCTCCAATCCCTCCCCCACAAGGTCTTTCTGGTCACCACCCCCATCCAGAGGCCCCACCCTAAATTACCTCATTAGCATCAACTCCTATGAGTGTTCCAAAGGGACTCTTAATGATTGACAAGACAATGCCATCACTCAGGAGACCCCGGGGGACTTAGGAGCTCTGCCAGAACCTGGGGGCCAAGACCATGTGCGCTCCTCATTATAGCACAGATGGAAACTACCTTCACAGAGTCAAAGCCCTATATGCAAGCCCCCAGCAAGACTGAGAGTGTTTCCTCCGAGATCAGGAACAAGACAAGGAAGCCCATTCTTTTCTGCACACAGCGGAGAAGTTCTAGCAGGAGCAATCAGGCAACAGAAAAGTAAGAGCATAAAAACTGGAAAGGGAGAAGTAAATTGACCTCTGTTTGCAGATGATACCGAAAACCCTAATGATTCCACAAAAATGCTGTCAGAACTAATAAGTTCAGTAAAATGCGACGCAAAGCCAACACATAAAACTCAGTTGCATTTTTACACACAAGCAATGAACAATCCAAAAAAGAAATCAAGAAAAGAGTTGCATTTTACAGTAGCATCAAAAATGAAACACTTCAGAGTAAGCCTAGCAGTAAGGAGAAAGACTTGGGACACCAAAAACCACAAAACAGTGCTGAAAGGGATTAAATGGGACAAACGTAGTAGAACATCCCATGTGTTGGGTTAGAAGGCTTAATACTGCCGTGTTAATTCATCCGACCCAACCTACAGATTCCACGCAATCCCTACCAAAATCCTAATGACATGGTTTGCAGAAACAGAAATACCCATCCTAAAAATCATCTCGAGGGACCTAGAATAGCCAAGCCACCTGGAAAAAGAACAAAGCTGAAGGCCTTAAATCCCCTGATTTTAAAACTTCCTACAGTAACAGAAAAATGAGATGTTGGCATAAAGACAGACAACATGAAGTCCAAGAGAATAGAGAGCCCAGAAACCAACCCTCCCGTGGCGTCCGATGGTTCTTAGCGAGGGCGCTTAGATCATCCAATGGGGAAAAAAAACGGTGCTGGGGGCGCCTGGGTGGCTCAGTGGGTTGAGCCGCTGCCTTCGGCTCAGGTCATGATCTCAGGGTCCTGGGATCGAGTCCTGCGTCGGGCTCTCTGCTCAGCAGGGAGCCTGCCCCCCCCCGCCCTTCCTCTCTCTCTGCCTGCCTCTCTGCCTACTTGTGATCTCTGTCAAATAAATAAATAAAAATCTCTAAAAAAAAAAAAACGGTGCTGGGAAAACCAGATATCCACACGCGAAAGGATGAAGTTGGACCCCTACCTCACACCATATACAAAAACTAACCCCACATGCATCAAAAACCTAAATGTAAAGGCTGAATTTATAAAACTCTCAGAAGAAAATAGAGGGTGAAACTCGACCACGTTGTATTTGACAAGGATTTGGATGCAGCACCACAGGCAACAAAAACAAGCCAAGGGCCGTGTGCACGTGAACGGACACACCAAATGTGGTCAGAATGGCAGGACAGAAGGTGGAAGGCCGGGAGCCAGGGGCTGGGGTCAGTGCTTACTGGGGACAGAGTGCTCTCTTACAAGATGAGGGAGGTTCTGGAGCTGGACGGTAGAGATGGTTGCACATAACACGAATGTAATTCGTATCAATGAACCGTACACTTAGCGGTCAGGGTGGTAAGTTTCAGGTTATATGTAATTTACCCCAGTATAAAACTGGGAAAGAGAGAAATGTCATTGTGTCACCTGCTACAAAGGCATGAACTTTGGAAACACCAAGCTAAGTAGAAGGAACCGGTTACAAAACACCACAGGCCATGTGATTCCATGACCGGAAGTCCAAACCAGGTAACCCCACAGAGACTGTAGGGGGCTGAGCAGGGGCTGGCTGGGGAGTGGCTGCTGATGGGCGGGACAGGCCCCAGAAGTAGGCAGACGTGGCACAGCATGGAGTGGACTAAATGTCACAGAATCATTCACTTTACAGTGGTTATACATTCTATGTTATGGGCACTCTACACGATTTTTAAAAATTTTTTTTGAAGATTTTATTTATTTATTTACAGACAGAGATCACAAGGAGGCAGAGAGGCAGGCAGAGAGAGAGGAGGAAGCAGGCTCCCAGCCGAGCAGAAAGCCCGATGCAGGGCTCGATCCCAGGACCCTGAGATCATGACCTGAGCCAAAGGCAGAGGCTTAACCCACTAAGCCACCCCGGCACCCCCCCACACTATTTTTTTAAAGATTAATTTATTCCAGAGAGCGAGAGAGTGGGCGCGTGCACAGTGGGGAGGGGCAGAGGGCGAGGAAGAATCCTCAAGCAAACTCCCCACTAAGCACAGGGCCCATCTTGGGGCTCGACCCACGACCCCAAAATCATGACGTAAGTCAAAACCCAGAGTTGGACACTCAGCCAACTGAGCCACCCAGGTGCCCCAGTCTACACACTCGGGCAGCAGGAGGTGCTGGAAGGTGTTCAGCTGAAAGCAGACGCAGCCCCGGGTGGAGCGAGGTGGCCCTTGCAGCTGCCTGTGCCCAGGTGCCACCACGGGACCATGTTTCTGCTGCCTGTCATCTCTGGCCACCGTCTGACAGTCCATCCAGCCCCTTCATGCGGCCCTGACACAGCTCAGGGGCGCAGTTCACATGGCACCTGTCGGACCCTCTCACTCCCCGGGCGTCAGGCTGCTGCTTGAGGCCAGGAACACGGAACACAAAAGCCCACGCAGGCACCAAACCACACAGCACACCCAGTCCGTGGTGGCCGCCAGTGGCTGGAACTGTCCGAAATGAGCGTGGGAATCAAGCCAAAAGAGTAAAATACCGGGGAGACACCTGTACTCAAAGAGCCCAGGAGCCCGGGATCCCCTCATGAGACGGGCACTCTGCTCACAGCCCTGGCCAGCGAGGTGAGCCCGTTCTCCTGAGTGCCTGGTGCTCAGGTGCGGACGTGTGGATCGGTGGGCAGGGAGACACCGGTCAACGGCCCTCAGCCCGTCCCTGGGACTCAGCCAGGGCCCAGGGCCAGTGGGATGATCCACCACGAGGACACAGGCAGGCGGGACAGCCAGGGCGGTGCTGCTTCAAGTTCACATTCCTACATTCCCCTTCGGTGACACAATCGGCTGCCCGGCCACGCCCACTCCCACCTGCGGCAGGGACCCCAGCCCACGCAAGGCCAGGCCCGGCCTGGGGGGCGTCCAGGCTGGCTTCCCTTGGAGGCTCCTCCGCGGCTGCTGGGGCCCCTGCAGGCCATTCTGTCAGCGTCACCATGTCTGCACCTCGGGGCCCGCCCGGGGCCCTCCTGGCCCCCATGGCGTGTCCCACCTCATAACCCTCTCTGGACCCACATCCTGGCAGCGCCCAAGCTGCATGCTCAGCGAACCGTGCAACCGCACGCATGCCCTGGCCCATCTGGCCACCCCTTCCCCGGAGGGGCCACTGCTGGAACCTTCTTTTCCACGGGACACCTCCTCAGCGCAGCTCTAGGCCTCCGACTCTCAGCCGCAGCCCCCTCCCAGCCTCGCCGCTCCCCCCACCCACCCACCCCAGGCTATACCGATCCCGTGTCTATGGGGCCTATCACCTGCCCCCCAGCTAGGAGGTCCTGGGGCGCCCGCAGGCCCCCACCCAGCCTGTGTGCTGCACACACAAGCAGGACTAAGGGAAGGAATGTGTCCCTGTGCCTCCTTACACTCTCCCCAAAACCGCCCCTCTGACCACTGCCTATAGGCCAGCTGTGGCCGAGACCCAGCCAGCCCCGGCCCTTCTGGCCTCATCAGACAGCCCGCTCCACTGCGGCCAGGAATCCAGAGTCCGCACGGCTCTACAGCCTGGCCGGCGGCTCCTTCAGGGTCCCCTGATCCCTGTTCCCTTTGGAAGCCCCAAGGCCAGACCCCAATCCCAGCCACTCTCTCCTCTACGCTAAGGGCCCCCAAATCTATCTTCAGCCCCACTGCTTTCCTAAACCCAAGAATGATGCACACAGCTGCCCACTCACCATCTCCCCTCTGCCCAGCCTCTGCTGGAATCCTCTGCTCCAATCTGCTCGGGGCTGAGCCAGGGAACCGCCTTAGCCCCGAGGAGCAATACAGCACCAGGCCAGAGGAGGGTCTGGGTTGTTGGTGAGCAATTCATGCCCCACATGGGGGCTCTGGCCTCAAGGACAAAGTGGGGCCAGACAGCTCTGACCAGCCTGGGGTCCGGTGGTCCCTGGGACAAGGCCAGAAGCTGTTCTGGACCCACTGCCCCTGGGACTTCGTCCCGTGTCAACAGACCCACATCCCTGCATCCGTGGGGGCCAGTGTGGGCCGGAGAGAGGGCACATGGCCAGGTCTGGGGGTGGCTGGGCAGATGCCTGGGCCCTTCCCTCCTCGGGGAGATCACGGCACTGCTTGCACTGTTCCTCCTGGCACCAAGGGACCAAGCCAGTGTCCTGAAGGCAGCCCTTGTCGGGCAGAGCACACACACCGGCAAAGGCAGGAGCGCCTGCGGAAACCCCATGTCAGGGCACCTCGACCGCTCACTCTGCCTTCGGTCGCCTCGTGAGGACACACATTCCTAAGCCACGGCCACAACAGCACCCAATCTGCACACTCCTGACACCTGGATCGGGAGTTCAAGCCCTGATGTGCAACACGAGTCAGAGGAGAACGGCAGTACTCACTGTCTTCTCCCGGACAAGGCATGCCTGGCTGCTCGGGGGTGCTGGGGAACACTGGAGAGAGGGAGAGAGAGCAGTCTGTCACCGAGCGCGGCCACGGAAGGTCCTACGCCACGTCAGGCCAACCGGACGAACCCCCCACAAAGCCCACATTGCCGACCGGCCTGCTCTGAGGGGATGCTCCTTGTGGCACAACTGTGGAAGCCCAAACCTGCTTTAAAAGGACTTCGAAATGCAGTGAAAACCTCTGGGGGAGAAGCAGTGGGGGACCCTGGACCAGAGCTGCCCCAGGAGGCCTCCCGACTCACAGCGGTAAATTAACACGCAAGTTAGGAGCGGCACCTACTTCAAAGTGGACTTTTGAGAGCACGTTAGACTCTGTTTTGCACTCAAGGTGCAGTTCAAATTAAGTATCTTAAAATACATTCTGGGCTTCCCTCATGGATTATTCAGGCAGGAGCTTACAAAGTATTAAAACTTAACTGAAGCAACCACTTCCTTATCTAGAAAATAACGCTGTCTTTGGAAAGCACCACCATCAAGAACGCCGGCCGGGCGAGGGCTCCCAACACAAACCCCATGTCCAGGCAGAACTGCAGAAGCGGGACCCTGTAACCAACACTGGGCCCGCCCCAGGGAGAACATGGCCCCACGGAACCCCTGGTTGGGAGCACCGGTCCCAGCGGTGTCAGGTTTGGCTCGGCTGTCCCTGCCCACCTGCCTGGCCAAGGGTCTGGGCTGCACAGGAGTGAATGCAGACGTGGCTGGTCAGAACCATGCTCAGACACCCCAAAGAACCCCAAAGAGTGTCGGGGGGCAGCCCGAAACCCCCAATTCAGGCTATACTGAAATCATAATAATTCCTATTTCCCGTGATCAGTCTATAAAGCAGCTCTGAGCTTCTCAGATAACAGCTGTGAGCCGGGAGACAGGCTCAGGGGAGGGTCTCATCCACCCCAAGTGTCCCCTCCTCCACCTGCCCTCCTACACTTGGGCTGGGACCCCTCCAGCTTCCCAAAAGGTGGAGGCCGGTGAGAGGGCCCAGGCTTCTGATGTACCAGTGATGCTGGCCTCCAGGGAACGGGGACAGTGAGGACCGGCAACCGGAACCTGGGCCCCTGTGTCTAGTGGGAAGGAGCTTTTCCAACTCTTTATCAGCTACGGCAATTTTATTTGGGTTAACAAGATGTAAGAGAAGAAACAAACCCAAATCACACTATATTCAACATCCTTAAGTTCTCTGGAATCCTAAGATTTTAAACCATGATCCCCAATGTGTTCTCTAGTCCCCCTGGCCATCTGGAAACCATGCTGGGCTCCCACCACCCCAGACCACAGTGGCACCACCCCACCCCCCGGCTGCCACTGACCGTGAATGGTGAGCCCCTCGTCCCTGCGCTGACAGGCCAGACGGAAGGCCTCCTCCAGCTCCATCTGGGAGGACACGGTGCAGGGGTCACCTAGGCAGGGCAAGAGACATCACTGAGGCTGCCGCAGGCCTGAGGCAAAGGGGTCCAACTCAGGCTAGGAAGGGCAGGGTCTGGCTGCTCCTGACCAGTCGCCCACTGCGGAGCTGGGAGACCCGAGAACGGGTAACGGGACGGGGGGATCCACCTCAGAACCGGCGGATCCCCAGTACGAGCCCCGAGAAGTCTACCTCCAGAGCCAAACCATGCTAACGTTCCTGGCTTGGACAAGATGAAGGACATTCTTCTTAGGTTAGTCCTCGGTGAAAGGAAAGGCTCCCTGCCCCCATCCTGGAGAGGAACACAGAAAGGCACAGAACCAACACCCCAGGGGGTTACTCTGCGGCTCCCCTGGCTCCCCGTGTCCTCGTCTGGCAGCTGGACTGTGTCCCCACTCCCTAGCTTTCTCAGATGTGTGTCTGACTGAGAGAGAGAAGGATGCAGAGGGGGAGGGAAGGGGGGGGAAGGACACTATGGGGGCCTAGCTACTTACCCTCCAGCTCTCGCTGAGATGAAAATAAGAAAGAGCTTATCCTTCCAAATCACCCACTGGAAAGCCCAGAACAGGAGAGAGGGAAGGAGGGCAAGGGCTGGCCCCAGGTGGGGACAGAGACCCCTGCAGCCCACTCCCCATCTGCCCTTCCCTGCCCCGGCCCCCAGCCAGCTTCCGTTTTGACCAGCCTCTCCAGGAAGTGATTTCCAGTACCCTACAGGGGAAGACGGCTGTTCACTAGCTTAATCCCATAATTTTAAATCTCCTCACAGAGGGGCTGACCTAACATCGGACAGAGGGAGATCCGGAGATTTGCAGTCGGACGGACAGAAGACCAAGGGCTCTACCTTCACTGTCCACCCACTTAAGGGTGAGTGGGTGTCCCTGATGGAGACCGCACATCTCTCTCACTTCCTCACAGAGCTCCTCGAAGGTCATGGCTGCATCTAGGCTGGTGATCAGGATGTCCCTGGGGCAAAGAGGGTGGACATGTGTCACCAAGAAGCACATTTAAATCAAATTAAATACTTGTTAATTGAGTTATTGATTACACAGAGGAAAATTTTCCCAAACAAAATATCACAGGTCCCACAAATAGAACCACTGGCCACAGTCTTGTTTTCTAATCACTATCACGAATGCCCTTGCACGGAGAGGAGAGACCTATCCCGCACCTGGATGTCCCTAAGAGGGGAGGCAGGGGTGGTAAGAATGAGGCAGGGGTATCAGAAAGCCAGGCGAGCACTCGCTCAGGCACCAGGTTCCAATTCAAAAGGTCACCGTAGGAGGGGTGTGGGGGTGGGGTGGGGTGTGGACACAGTCCGCTCAACTTAAGCCCACTGGCTTCATCAGACCTTCCCCCAAAGCAGATGACACAAACAGCAGCCTGGGCTTGAGCTGGAGAGAGGGAAGACCCCACGTGGCTGTGCCTATGAGCTCAGAAAAGTGGACGTCTGAGATTCGAGCTGGCAAAGCAGGGTCTCCAACCCCAGTGTGCCTCGCCTGGAAGTCCCCCAGAAACACAGGTGCTGCTGGACCCCAGTGTTGGCACATCCTCCAGAGGCCAAACTGGGGGCCCCCTATTTTTCAGAATGACATCTTCAATGGGTCTGACCTCCCGCTGCGGCCCTGCTGCCCCCAAACCACCTTCCAGCAGCGAGAGGGCAGCACAGCCCCACCCAGAGACAGAACTCGAGGGGTCGAGGGGTTGAGAGGTCGGTCAGACAGCGCAGCTCCTGACAGGTGCCTCCCAGAACCAGCCTCATTAGAGCACCGAGGCCTGCCCCTCCCAACTCAGAACGGGAGGCGTCACGTCCCCCAGGAGAGGGACCAGGCCAGAGGAAGAGAGAGCTGGGGTATGGCAGGAACCCCAGTGCAGCCTGGGGCAGAACCGAGGACTGAAAGCACAGAGGGACAAAGGAAGAGTGGGAGGAAGAGGAGGAAGAGAGGAAAAGGGACGGGAAGGGTGGGGAGAGGAGGAGAGCGGAAAGCAGGGGGAGGGGGTGGAGGGAAGGGAGGGAGGGAATGAGAGGAACAGATGACTGGGGGCCTCGTCAGCCCAGGGAAACTAGAGCAACAGGTCACGTTACTGGCAGTAACCAAAGCGCTCTCCAGAGGCCAAGGTCATGGGCAGGGCCAGGGGCAGTGGAAGCTCGGGGAGGAACTCCCAAGGGCTGCCGTCAACTTTGCTGGAGACCAGCCTTGCCTGCCTCCATCCCTCCCCTCAGTGCCTGAGGGAGGGTACGTGAACCCAGCCCAGAGGCAGCCCGGGGGGGTCCGGTCCCCACCCACCCTGGACTGCTGGGGTGCGGACTTCCTCTCACTGAGGAGCAACCCTGATTTTTCCCAAAGGAGCTTATTGCTCAATCCCGCCATTCCTGGATGGGAAGAGGGCTGTCTCTGACACAGGGTCCGCCTTCCTCAGGGTTCACCCACCAGCAAGGCAAGACGTCTGGCCCTCCCATGAGTCTGAGAACCAGTTTTAATAGGCAAACCACCCTTCCAGGCCGGAAGACTCGGGGCCCTCTTCTTGGGGGGGCTGGCCATCCTCCCGCCGGAACTCATTCCTCCCAGAGCCCTGTCACCAAGTCTCCCACACACGGTCTGCTCCCAGGCGACCCAGGTGAGGCGGGCAGAAAGGACAGGGGAGTTCCGACCTGAAACCCCAAACAGGGTGCCCTCGCGAGGTCAAGGGCCCCAAGCCCCTCCTCAGACTGGAGATGCACGCGGAGATGCACCCGCGAGACCACCGAGACCACCGGCGTAAAGAGGCCGCGGCAGACGAGCTGAGCTCCCGCCCGAGCGCCGCGCTCGGGCGGAGGCAGGATCCGCCCTCCGGGCGCCTCCCGCCCCAGGGCTGCTCCGCGGGAAGGGCCAGACGCTCCCGGCCTCTGACCCCTGAGATGCCTGCTCGCCCCATTTTACAGCGAGCAGGTCGAGTCCAGAGTCCGAAAGATCCGGTCCCAAAAGGGCGGCACCTGGAGACGCACGCGGACCCCTCACCGCCCCCATTCGCGCCCCCGCGGGCAGCTCAGTGCACCCGACCTTCCCCTGGGTCGTCAAACTGTTCTTGCATATGGAGACTTCTGGCCGGGTAAACTGGGAAAAGTTTAGGAAATCCTTATGTTTAAAACTCTGCCCGCAGTTCCATTCGGCTAAAACTTCAGTCTTACAGGTTTGCGGCCGTAACGTCCAGTCAACTCCGCAGCGAACGTCAGGGCTGCGCCCAGGGCGGGGGAGCGCGCGGCGACCGCCGCCTCTAGCCCCGCAACCTCCTCCGGGCGGGTCCCGCCCGGGAAGACCTCGCCGGGGCGGGCAGGGACCCGCGCGGCCGCCCGCACCCGCAGCGCTCCGCGCCCCGGCGCCAGAGGACCCGGCGACCCAGCCCGCCCCGCGCGCTTTCCCGCCAAAGACGTCCCAGGGCGCCTCCAACGCCCGTCGCGTCCCGGGCCCCCTCCACAGCGACGGCGCGACAGGACCTCCCGGGGCGCCCCTGGGCCCGGAGGGGCCTCGCCGTCCCCTCCCTCCCGCGCCGCACGAGCGGCGACACCGTCCCCGACGGCAGGCGCGGGCCGGGCCGTCTCCCCGCGCCCGCGCTGCCCGAGGCCCCCCGGCCCCGCCGTCGGGCGCAAGGCGCTCACCCGCTGTAGTGCGCCTTCAGGCGGACGCGGCAGCCGCTCCCGTCCATCTTGGGACCGGTCCTGCTGGGCATGGCGAGCTCCGCCGGCCGCCGTCAGCGCCGCGCCCCGGGCACTCGGGCCATGGCGCGGGGACCCAGCGGCCGGCCGGGCCGCCAGGTGGGGCCGGCGGCGGAACGCGGAAGGGCGCGCGCGGCGCCGGGACCCAGGGCACGCGCGTGGGGCCGGCCAACTCCGCGGAACTTGGGTGGCGGGGCGGGCGGGACGTGGACACGGCCGGCGGGGACGAGCGAGGGGCGCGCACGGAATCCCGGCGTCAGACCCGGGGGTGGCGCGGGGCGGGGGGGGACCGAACATGGCCGACCCGAGGCCCAGCGGGCGGCCAATCGGCGGGACAGGCGGTCCCGGGGCGGGGGCGGTGGCACCTGCGGCCAATGAGGGCGAGGCGGGGCCGCTACCTGGGCCAATCCCCGGGGGTCCCCGCGGCGGCGACCCAATGGCTCCGCGCGGGGCGGACTACCTGTCGGGCGGGGCGCGGCCCACCTGCGGCCAATGGAGGCGCGCGCGGCCCGGCTCTGCCCGGCAACCGGAGGCGGTGCGCGGTCTGCCCCGAGCGCCGACCCCTCGGGGAGGTGGGCTCCGGGCACAGCGCTTCCCAGGTGGGGCCCCTGCGCTGCAGCGCCCCGGGAACCTGTTGGAAATGCTACCTCGGGTGCCCCAGCCCAGACGCACGGAATCGAAACTCCAGCGGTCTGTGCAAACCAGCTCTGGGTAGTTCGCAGGTGAGCGCGATCCGAGAGCCGCTAGTCTAGGGGACAGTGGGAAAGGGTCGCCAGCGACCTGAGGGATGGGAGCAGAGAACCCAGCCAACGTCGCGGGGACGGTCCGGCTCAGTTGGTTCCCTCGCCCCAGCTGCTCTCCTCTCCTTGCGGAATCCGAGATCCTGTTGTACCGAAGTCTTGTCTACACTAGCTGGCGGTTCCTTCTGCTCCAGATCACTCCTCGGCCCGGACAAGGACACTGCATTTACCCACGTCGCCCATGACCTTCATTTCTGAATTTCCAGCCTCCGTGAGACTTAATAACCCTGCGGCACTTGATCTGGACAGCCTCATCTGGACACTCTCCAGGGCCCTGAGGGGCCGCATCCTGGTTGCATCCCCAGGGCCCAAATCTGCGTTTGCATGACCTCACCTGGGCACCAGGTGGGCACCCCAGCTCAGGTGGGCACTCCCCTCGTCCTCCCCTTCCCCACACCACCCAGCTGGCAACCTCTGACCGGGGACTCCAGGCCTGGCCAAGCCTTCACACCCCACTTGGACAATCAGAGGGGCTTCAAGGACTCCCCACACTTTCATTCCCTGGACACTTCCTGGCACCTCCTGGGAACCAGGCCCTGGGGTGAGCCTGGAGAACCAAGCGGAGAGTCATGGACATGGAACTCGTATTCTCCCTAGAGATGGACCCAGAGAAACATGTTGAAAACCTGCCTTTCACCTACCTAAGATGCTGTCAGCTGTCCCCACCTGTCTGTTTCTCTGCTCCTCTTTACAACAAAACGGCCAGGAGTCTGCAGTCCTCATCCCTGCTCCATCTCCCACTACTTTCTCCTGAGCAACCACACACACACACACACACACACACACACCCCTGCACTGTCATCATCAACTCCTGTGTTTTGAATACAATGGTGAGTTCTTAGACTTTTTCTTGATTGACCCTTGGCAGTTGTCTGGCCCCTCCTAGAAGCTCTTACCCTAGGGTGCTGCTCTCTGCCTATCCCCCCTGCTCCCCCCTGCTCTCCCCTGCATCTCCCTCTGCTGCTTCCTCCTGGTCTCACTCTTAAATGCCCCTTGCCTCTGGCCCCTGTGTCTCATTTCCACTTAGGGCTCCAAACACCAACCTGAGGCAAGTCGCTCCCCCGAACTCCTGCTGAGCCTGACCCCCCACACACACACACGCACACACATGACACACACGCACACACGCACGCACATGCGTGCACACACACACACACCCCCCTCACCCTAGCAGATCTTGCTCAGTTCAAAAACCGTTCCTTCTTACACCCCACACGCCTCCGTCTGCAGATCCTAGCAGCACCACCTTCAGCATATTTCCAGATTCCTGCCACATCCCACCACCTCCGTTGCTACCCCTGGTCCAAGGCACATGCAGCAGCCTCCAATTTCCTTAAAAACATAAGTCTGTCCATGTCCATCAATCTGGTGTTTAAAACCCCCAGTGATTCCAACTATTCTCAGGAAAAGTCCATAGGCCCTACAGGATCTGGGGCCCCACTCCCTTCTGCCTTCGTCTCCCACCATCCTCATCCTGCCTCACTCCCCTTCAGATACCTGGCCACTTTGCTTCCCCTTGCCTCAGGGCCTTTGCACATGCTGGCATCCCTCTCCCAGAAGCACATTTGCCCAGACCCACACTTCCTTTGAGTCTCCACTTAATATCCCTGATGCCCGGGTTACTCAGCTCCCCTGCTGCACCCTGTGGGTGATCCCTCCACAGCCCCAGCATGGCCACAGAGAGCTCTGTGGCTGTCAGTTGGGCACAAAGGGGGTGGGGTACAAGGGTTTGCCACACCAGGGGAGCAGCATGGTGCCCATGGGGCTGAGCAGAAATCTGCCACAGGAGCAGAATCAAGGTGGCAAGTGTGTGTGGGATGCACATGTCCCTGTGTCAGGCCCCTCAAGCAGCCCATGGCCGGACTGTGGCCTTGTGCCCTCGACCGTCCAGAGTGCAGCCTGGCACATGGCCTCAGGCAGTCCTGACTGGAGGAGAAGAACAAGGTTGCATCTCAGTGGGCACAGACCATCTCCGAATGGAGGGGGATCCTCTGATACCCCATAGCATCTCCCTGGCATTCTGATTTCCGGCCTGAAAGGCAGGGCAGGAAGCAGCAAGTCGAGGTCTGGATGCCCACCACCCGCTGTCGGCAGGATGGGCCAGCGTCTGTCCATCTCACTGCATCACCATTTCTCTGATGTCCCCCACCAGACACAACAGCCAGGTCGGGCCCCAGAGCCCTTTCTAACCAGGGAAGCCCTTGCTGGGGTGAGAGCCTTGAGGGTCCCGGTGCCCTTGTGGGGACTGACCTCACCTGTGATCTGACCTGATATGCGGAACCTCTGTCCCGGAAGCCGGTACTGGCAGCATCTGGAGCTGCAGCACCCCCATCCCGGGGAGGGAAGATGGTGGGGGGCGGGGCCGAGCCTGAAGCTGCAGGGTTTGAGGGCCAGGTGTGTGTGGGGGGGAGCTCTGCTCTCCATGAGGGTTGCGGGGGAGAGGCCTATTCCAGGAGGAGGGCCAGGGGAAGGGTCTAACCCGAGTTTCTTATGCATCCTGTCCCAGGCCCGGGTGAGGGCACATGGGTCATGTGCAGTGCCCAGAAAACTTACCTGTGGCCCCTGGGACGTGGAGGACTTTGGCTTTTGCATCCTCCCCCCAAAACAGCTCTGCAAAACAATGGGTACCCCCTGCCACCAGGCCTGTGGACAGTCTCCAGAGGGTGGGCAGCCTCCGCACTCCCCCCGCACCCCGTTAGGGCCTCAAGAGTAGAGGGCGCGGTCCGGACCGGCCAGCAGGTGGCCCCGCAGGCCGCCAAGCCCTGGCAACAGGCACAGGTGTTTGTCCCCAGATTTTCCAACCACTCCCCGCTCCCCACGTGACAGGGGTTGGGACCCAGTCAGCGTAGGTCCCTGCTGTGTCCCCATGGTGTCTGAGTGTCTGGCCCATCACGGAATGAATGAGGGAGGGAATGAATAAGCAGACATCCCTCAGGAATGCCAAGCCGGGCCATGTGGTGAGGGGCCCTGGACAGGACTACTGCCTCCCCAGTCTGCCAAGTGAGGGGATGGGGAGGGGGAAGGCGGGTGGACTTGGTCGCCCAAGGACAGACCTGCCAAAGTCCCTGGGGCTAAGGACAGGTCCCTTCCAGCTCTCAGCAGCTTCTGTTTCCCAGCTCTCCCTGTCAGCGCCTCATATGCCTTCATAATGACACTTATTATTTCCAAAATGAAAAAAAACACAAAGGTGTGGGCTTTTAAAAAGGGATTATTAAAGTGATAGAGGCTCGCTGTAAGTCTGCAACGTCACAGCAGGGGGTCAGGAGACACCTCAGCAGCCCTGCCTCCCTCCTCTCCCGACAAACCCCACAGGGAGGTCATCCCTCCCTTGTCGCCTGGGACCCCAGAGCGGCGCTGGTTGGGGAGGAGGGTGGCCAGGCCCCACTTAGCTTGGCCTCTGATTTCCTCCCATGAATGTTCTTTATGAGGGTGCTTTCAAATGACATCGAGATGTTTTAGGGGTGGGGTGAAAGCCAGGTGGAGTTTAAGCTCCGTGAGACTCATCAGACACAAGCAAAGGCCTCGGTGGGGGTCCCTCCCGAAAAGACCTCCCTGCAGAACCCCACCCAGGGGCCTGCCTTCCTCATCAGACCCCACGGACTGCATCAGTGTCCCCTTGGGACTGTCTAGAAGGAGGTGGCTATCGGGGCCTCCCGCCTGGTGTGAGACTGCCCCAGGCAGTGAGGACCACCACAGGCTCCGGAAGCCCGGGGCGTGTGCTCGCACACAGCTGGGAGAGGGGAAGGGCAGCAGGCGTTTCCTTTCTTTGTCATAGAGGACGGGATTTGGAAAAACTGGTTCAGGAGACAACATTCCCTTCCCTCGCCCATTAATGTGTGCAGTGGGTGCTGAGCACGGGCCTGCTGGGTGCTGAGATGCTGGGGCGGATTCTGCCAGATGCGCCGGCTCTGTCATGGAAACCGCACACCGGTGGGGAGGTGGGCGCCCGTTACTGGTCACACAGATGTGGCAGCTCGTAGGGAGAGCAGGGTCTGACCAGGTCCCCGGGAGAGAGCCTGGGGATGGGATGGGGATGTGTGCTGTGAGGCAGGAGAGCAAGACAGGCAGGCTGGGTGGCTCCTGCACAGGCTCTGTGGCCCCAGGGGGGAGGGTGTCTGGAGGTGTCAGGGCGAGGCCGCAGAAGCTGCTGGAACAGACCCCAAGGGGCCTCTAGGGCTGCGTTAAGAAGGGAGGGGAAGCCAGCGACGGGGCCCTGGGAGCTCCAGAAAAGGTCTCGGTTCCCTTGCCAAGGTCCCGCCCAGAAGGAGAGGGAGAGCGGTCTTCATCTCCGTGGGCTTCTGGGCCTGGGTGTGCGTCTGTCTCCGTATGTGTCTGTGTGTGTTGTGGGAGGACCCTCACGTGCGTCTGTGTCTCGCGTGTGCGCGTGTCTCGGTAAGGGTGTGTCAGAGGCATTCGTGCACATGTGCGTGCCGGCGAGCACTTTGTCCCCATCTGCTCCAAGCTCACCATGGCCTGTGAGCCGGCGTGGCGCTGCTGCAGGACGGGGGTGAGGGTTCCTCGCTCCGGGCGCCGCCGACACGTGAGCACAGCGTGCATCACCGCGGGGGGCTCTGCACGCGGGCGTCTGGGCGCAGGTGCTGGCAGCCCCCGGCCTCCCGCGTCCGCGCAGTGCCGCGCTGGCCCAGCAGAGGGCGCCGGAGGGACGCGGCCGGGAGCCCCGGTGGGCGGTGCTGTGGGCGGAGGGCATCCGGGGAGGCCCCGCCCCCCGCCCCGCCCCGCCCCGCCCCGGACGCGGCCCGGCCCCAGCGGGTTGAGGCGCCCGCTCCGCCCCCCGCAGTCCCCGTCCGCGGCGAGGTCGTCGGTTAGAGTAAACGGTCCCCGGGCCTGGCGCGCGGGTTCTGCTGCGCCTGCGCGCGCCCGTGGGGCGCCTCCGTGGGGGCCCCCGCGTATGCGCGTGCGCGCGAGTGCGCGTGTGTGTGTGTGTGTGTGTGTGTGTGTGTGCGCGCGCGCGCGCGCGCGCGCCCTGGTGCGGGGAGGGCACGGCCGTGTCCGGCGGAGGCGGGGCGGCTCAGGAGCGCGGGAGCAGCTCAGACCCTCCGACCCAAGGCCGCCCGGGGATCAGCAGTCGCCCCGGCCCCTCGCACGAGCGGGGACAGCGAGGCACCCGCACTCCAGAGTCCCCCCCCGCCCCTGGGAGGACCCCTAGGACGTGGGTATCATGGGCCCCTTCCCCGAAAGGGGACACCGAGGGTCTGGGTGGCCCCCGGCTTCCTCGGGGTCGCAGGGCCCGCCAGGTGCACGGCCAGGATGGCCGCGCTGCGCGCCTCCCTCCCGCTGGATGTGTCTACGGAGCGCAGCTCTTCTCCTTAGGGCCCGGGACAAGCGGGGCCGGGGCACTGAGGAGGGAAAGGCCCTTCCCCTCTGGAACATGGAGTCTGTCCCGCTTTCATTCTCCGCAGCTGCCCGGGACTATATTTAAAACCCCGAGCAAGCCTGAGACGCGTCTGAGGAAGCAGCACCCAAAACCACGGTCACCATGGCAATGCCACCCCGTGGGGGCTGCGTGTGGGCGCTATTTTAGCCACAAGAAAACAGTAGTTAACTAGAAGCGTCACAGGGAGACACAGGGACAGAGCGAGACAGGCCCCCAGCGGCTTGGCTGAACCCTTGTCTGCAGACCGGAGCCTGTCCACACCCAGCCACGGGTGTCCGGGGCGCACTGGGCATGGTGCCTCCACTGTGCTGAGCCCGCCCTCCACAGTCTTCTTTGCCTTTTACTCGAAGACTGAGATTGGGGCCTCAGTGGGCCCCAGAGCCTGGTATTTTGTATACACTGCCCCAGGGTCAGGCTTCCAGACTGAGATGGTATCCAGTCACCCTGCCCTGGGAAGGGACTGGGAGGAGGTGCAGCCGGAACCGCCTTCTAGAAAGCAAGGTGACGACAAGCATCCCAAGCCTTCGGGTCTCATCATTCCACTTCTGGAAATCCACTGTGAAGAACAAAGTGGATACGCAAACATCTGTGTGTCCCAGAAAACACCTGGCGTCCCCGACATCTGTCCTGAGAGCTGCAGGACCGAGGGTGGTATGTGAGACGGCCGGCTGCAGAGTGGAGTCCGCAGTGACCTTTGAGAGCTAATTTTGCACACAGACACATGCACGCGTGGGCTCATGCTCACTCGGGCCAGGCAGGAGTGGCTCTGCTGGGACAGAAGGAGGCCAGACCCCTGCCGGTGGCCCGGGCGAACCAGCAGATGGCCCGGCAGCCTGGCTGTGAGCAGGCACTGTCTTGTTGGAAAGCACCCCAGCATCCCCAAGCTGGGAAAGATTCCCTGAGACCTTGTCACCCACAGTCATCAGCCTCGCATGGGCAAGGCCCAGGCAGCCATCCCCAGAGGTGACATGCAACCCTCGCTGACCCCTGACACCCCTGCCAACCCCAGTGACCCTTCCTTGGGCAGGACAGCCGAGGTTGACAAACTGCTCTCAGGCAGGGACCTCATCTAATTTCTGCCACACTCACCTGGGGGAAGGGCCGTGGCTTTGTGAGAAGTGGCACCAGACAGGCATCCCCAGCAGGTACCCCAGTGCCTCGGCACACCTGTCTACCTCCTCGCCTCAGCACCTCTGGGGAGCCCCAAGAGCTGTGTCTTCAAGGTTGCTCTGAGGGGACCAGCCTCCAGGTGCAGCCGCCCAGGGGGCCTGACTGTTCCTGGGACTGCTGGTGGTCAGCAGACGCTCCAGGGTCGTGCCTGGGGGTGTCCTCGGCATGGAGGGAAACATAGGGCATCCCAGGCAAAGGATGTGAAGACTGTGGCCATCCAGATGCTTGTGCGCCTGGGCCCACTGGGAGAGGGGCCATCCTGACAGGAGTCTGGAAGGAGGGGCTGCCAGGGGTTTTAAAATGGAGTGCGACATGCAGTGGTGAGGCCCTTTTGGGGTGGAACCTGGTAGCCTGGCTCAGGAGCCACTAGCCTGGGAGGCACAGGACACGGGGAAGCGGCCCGATTGCTGGGCTGCAGGTTCTTCCCCTGTGAGTGGGGGATGATCGGGGAGGGCAGGGTCCTGACTCGGCTCTCAGGAAAGGGCAAGAAGTTTCTGTCGCTGTCGTGGCCCTTCCAGGGTAGCCTGGGGCAGCTCTCGG